GGGAGTGACACAGACAAACAGAAATACAAGAGACAGGGTTCAGGAGGAGAGGGGCAGACAGACATTCAGATGCAGGGCGGCAGGGGGGCAGATGTAGACACAGAGGGACAAACTCAGAGATGGGGATAGACACAGAATGGCAGAAAAGCCAGGAGAGACTCAGAGGTGAAGCCCCAGGGAAGAGTGATGGGGGCTTGAGGACAAGGAGCGGAGTGCGTTGAGGGGGGCAGAGTGCCCGGAGATGGTGCGCTCTGCGGGGTTTTGCCCATCGGAAATAAATCACACTTCCACACTGTTCTGGGGCCCAGGACAGGTGGTGGGGAGAGAAAGAGAGCTCAATGCAGAGTCAGTTTGATCCAGGCAGGTTAGAAAAGGAGGCCTGGGCGCAAAACGGGAACTCTCCCTTGGGGAGAGGCTGGTCAGTGACCACCCAGGATCTAGCAGCACACCCACTGGCCCCACACAGAACCTGGGCCACCCGCCCAGGATGGCCGTCAGCCCGCCTGGCTCCAGTCTGATTACAGCCAAAGTGCCAAAAGGCTCCGCCTCCACGGTCCGGCCTCCCCAAGCCTTATCTCCTCCTTCCCTGTCTCCGTTAAATCCCTCTCTTGGTCCCCTGGAGAGCGGTTTGCCCTGTTTAGCCACTAGCTGGGAGGAAAGGGGTGCTGCTCCGCCAAGCCCCCTTCCTGGATTTTGGGCTGAATGCTCCTTCCTTCCAAAGCCTATTTGGCCTGGCCTCTCAGAGACACGTTCCACCTCTTGCCTGGGAGCTCATAAATACCAAGGAGAGGCCAGCCAAGCTGTGCACAAAGCGTGGATCCCCACCTACCCCCCTTAAAAGCCCCTGGAGTTCTTCCCAAGCTCCCTTCTTTTCCCCAGACACCTGCATGGTGCAGCATGGCAGGAGGCAGGGCACTAGGGGCCTGTGTGAACCTGGCCCCAATTCAAATGAGATTTGCCTTGGTTTGCAAAGCAATCTCAGGAAAGGCGTCTCAGGGCCCCTTGTGCAAGTAGCAAGCTCAGGAATTCCTTGACTCCTATCCAACCCCCCCACCCCCCGCAAGCCCCTTCTTGGCCTTTCTCTCTGCTCATTACCATCCACACCACCTCCCCGCCACCGGGAGAGAGAAGGTCATCGACAGAGGGGCCCAAGGAAGGAGGGCCTGCTGGAAGATAGACCAGGGTGGGGTAAGAGCTGTTCACCCACACCCGAGCTCCCTTTAGCTCCTCTCTCCCATCCAAGGGCCAGTAAAAATCCAAAGTCATTCAGCCACACACAGCTGAGAATGGAGCGAAAGATGAGCCCTAACTCTAAGCAGCCTCCCTGGGGAGCAGAGCTCTGAGGTGAGTATGGAGGGGGAGATGGGACCCTTCCCCTTCCCACTTTCGAAAGGGCAGGAGACTTCGAACGTAGCTATAGCCCCAAATGTCTGGGAGGCTGCAGGCCAGTTTGGGTAGCTCAGTGAGACCCTGTCTGTGTGGAAAGTGGCGGAGGGCTCAGTGGTCCTGCACCCCTGGGCTTATTTCTCAGCACGGCAAAAAAAAGAAAAGGAAGAGAAAGAAAGAAGAGAGAAGGCAGGAAGCTGTGGTGGCACCTCCAGGGGAGAAGGTGAAGCTCTGCTGGCCAGCTGCTGGAGGTCCTAGAAATCTGGCACAAATGGGCGGAGGGGGGGGGGTCCTTCCTTAGGTCTCCGCCACCGCACACAACAGCATACTATACATCTGCTACATACAGCCTGAAGTCCAACAGAGCCTAGCGTGCTACCCTCAGGCAGCTTTATGGTAGTGTATTTGCAAGAAAATGTCTGGGCAGTAAGACCTTTTCCTCCTCTTGTGTTATTCAGGATGCCCTAGCCAGTGGCGGGCCCAGAGCAGGTACTTAATAAGTGCTGACCAGACTCCTTGAAGGGCCCTCTAAAACAGTACTTGATTCTCAAATCACTCCTCCCCGCTGCTTCCCTGAACCAGCTGGACCAAGTCAGGGGCTATTCTGAGCCCCCGGTCTTGACCCTCGGCCTGAAAGCCTCCTAACAGGCCCTTGCGTGAGGAGCGGAGCTTTCCAATAGTGTCTAGGACCTTGAGACTGGAAGTTTATTTTGAGACTTGAAACTCCAAAGTGGCAGATCCCAGAAAACCTCTTCTCTGGCTCCGTATTTGTCCTCTAGTTAAGTGGTTGAGTGCAGCTCTTGCAGTCAGCTGGCTCCTGCAGTTTAGGGTTCCTCCTGGGGCTCTGGGGACTGGGGGAGGGGGGAAGCGGCGGAGGAACAAAGCTGCAGCCTGAGTTGCCCACTCTAGGGAGGGGTGGCCTGAAAGCCTCGGGGAGCAGTCTTGTCCCCTCTTTCCCAGGGATGTTTCTTGGGGGTCCTCTCAGCTCAGAAGCATACTTTAATAGTCGAACTTGTATGCTGTGCCAAGACACGGTCCTACTTAACTATGAAGACAGCTGAAGCCAAAGAAGGGGCCTCAGAATTGAGTTTGGGGCCCGCACGGGTGAGTCCATCCAAGGTCAGATGTGATCATCTCCAGCTCCCACCCTTCCTTCTACCCCAGGCGCATATGTGGAAACAAACACAGGCCAGAGTCACACCCAGATCTAAACACAGGGAGTCTGGGAGCAGCACTGAAGCTGGAAGACTGCTGCCCTGCCAATGGGTGGGCTGAGCGGGAAGGAAGTGAAAGAGTGGCTCAAGCAAGGGGCCCGGGGGAATGAGCCTGGGCTCACCCCTCTGCCACCTGCTCTGCTCAGGGCAGCTTGCTGGCATAGAATCTGTGCCTTCCTAAGGACAAAGCAGGTCAACCAGAGGCCAGCCTGAGGGAAAGAGACAAGGAAAGAGTGGCCCTGAAGGGATGTGGTCCTACTTCCTGTGGCCAGCATGCTGGCTCTGCAGGTCTCCCCCTCCCTTCCAACTCCAGTCCAGCCCCACTTTCACCAGCAACATCCAGTGGTGGGAACCTTCTCCCCTGCATTACCTGTCTCAGCTCCTTTCCTCCTCCCTAGCTCGCTGGGCTCCAGCTGGCTGACCTCTCACTAGCCCCTGTGTACCAGGCCCCTCCTACCTTAGGCCAATTTACTCCTTAATTCCCACTGGGACGCTCTTCACTGGACTCTGCCCAGCTCGTTTCCTTGCGCCCTTAAATCTTCCCTTGGATCTCATGGTAAAAACCTCCTATTCCAATCTCCTTCATTACAAATGTGACCCATCCCTTTACCCTGTTCTATTTTTTCCCTCTGTACCAACCACGTTCTAACATGCTGTATGTTTATTATTATCTATTATCCCCAATAAACTGTAAACTCCACGAGGGTAGAAATTTGCTTTGCTTACCGATACGCAACAGTACCAGTTCTAGCGCAGTCCTAGCATGACAGGGAATAAGCACAGAGTTGTGGAATTGATCAGTGTGCTCAGACTCTTAGTGCGGAAAGTAGGGGCAAAGGAGTGACCAGGGAAGGGATACAGGTTCCTCTGAACCCTCTCCCCATCTGTCTCTGAGATGACTGCAGCCAGATGTGCCCTGTTGGATCACACTCTGGCTTTTCTCACCTCTTCCACCCGGTCCACCCCGTCCAACAAGGACTGATATGGAAAGTGTGGGGTTAAGGGAGGTAGGCAGTTACCAGCATATCATTTGCGCTGGGGCTTTGAGGGGGGTGTTTTTTGTTTTGGTTTGTTTTTTAAGTTGTAGGGATTGAACCCAGAGCCTTCACACTGACCTACATCCCCAGCTCATTTATATTTTTAGAAGAAATTGTGTTAAGTGGACAGGGTCTTACTATGTAGCCCAAACTGGTGATACAGCTACCTTAGCCTCCTGAGGCTGGCATTAACAGGTGTGGGTCACCACGCCGGCTTCAGGACTTCACAGTTTGGCTCGTTCACCAACGACGAAACGCATGAACAACACCCGGGAATGAGGGCCTAGGTGGGAGAAACAAGGCTGAGGAAGGGGTTAGGGCCAGACCCCAATTGAACTCTCAAAGTTAGAAGGCCCAGAGCTTTAAAAATAACTTTTTGGTCTCCTTTGGCCATCCTCCCCCCAGGAGAGAGCCCCCCAATCCTCCCCCTCCCCCGCTAGCCTGGGAAGTGCGTCTGTGCGTGTGCGTGCGTGAATGGGGAGAGGAGAGGGAGTCACTTAGGGCACTCCTTCCAGATTTACCACGCCCCCGGCAGTGTGCGGGGCTGCAGGGGCCGCAAAGAGGAGGAAGGGTGGAAAGGTCCCCAAAAGTGAATGCTCCAGGGCTTCTACTCTTTCAGCAGGCCTCCCACCCAGGCCTCTGGTGCGGGGAAAACCGCCCAGCTGTTTCTGATTCTTCGCTACTCGAGACCCCGCCCGAAGGGTGGGGGACCGAGACACCAGGGGATCCGGGAGACCGAGCTCGGCCATCCCTGCAGAAAGGGGCCGGACCGTGTCCGGTCTGCAGGTGTGCGACTCTGGGGGGCCACCTGGGTGCGGGGCAGGTGGGCTGGGTAGGAGTAGGGCTAAAGTTGTGGAGAAAGGGGCTTGGTGAGGCCAGAAGAAGCAGAAGTGATGAGCCCTAGATGAGAGAGTCCTTTGCCTGAAGCCGGCTGCCCTCGGTGCCGCTGCAGGAAGTGTAGAAAAGGGAGCTAAGACTCTCCCGTAGCCTCCGGCTGCAGTTTCCACCCATTTCACGGAAGAGCAAGCACGGAGAGGACCCGAGGGATGAGTGCGTCCTCTGCGTCGCTGCAGATTAGGGGACAAGGGGAAAGAAATCCCTACAGCCCCCTCCCACTGCACGCGCCCCGCCAGAAACCACAGCCGTGGAGTCCAAATGAAGGGCGCTAGGACCCGGGGGTGCGGCATCGGTAGGGACTGGGCGCTACTGGCTCAGCTGCGCCCCGTCGCGTCGCGCCAGAGCAGGTGGGGGTGCGGCGCGGAGCGCCCCGGGCTGGCGCGGGCGGAGCCGCTCTGAAAGCCGCGCGTGTCCCGGGCCTCGGCCCCGCCCCGCGCCGTCCAATGAGAGCCCACGGCCGGAGGGGCTGTCCGCGCAGTCGGCCCCGCGGCTCCACTCCGCGCCTCGGAGCCCCTGACGCCGCACCTCGTGCCGGCCGGGCCGCGCGCCCCAGAGCCCCCGCCGGGCGCGCCGTCGTCGGTTTCCGGACGCTTCGACTTGCGCCCTCTCCAGGAACCTGCGCCGGCTCCCGGACTCCACGTGAGCCTCAGTCCGCAGCCACCCGCGAGCCCCATGGCCATCCCGAGGGTGAGGTAGGCGCAGCCTGAGAAACCCTAGACGGTGCCCCATCCACGCCCCTCCGGGCTGCGCTGCAGGCGTCTTCGGGGAGCTATGCTGAGGCCGGGAGGTGCTGAGGAAGCTGCGCAGCTCGCCCCTCGGCGCGCCCGCGCCCCCGCCCCGCTCCCCGCGCCCAGACCCGCGGCCCCCGACGTCTGCCCGGCTTCGGCGCGCCAGCGGATTGCCTGCCTGCTGCTGCTGCTGCTCACCCTGCCGGCCCGTGTGGACACGTCCTGGTGGTGAGTGCGGTTCCGAGGGCCCAGGGGCTGCAGGAGGCTGGAGGCGCCCGTGGGCAATGCAGCACGCCGCTCCTGGCACAGGCGTCCGGGGGACCAGGTTGCTGCTCGGCCGGAGTTAGCGAGGATCCCGAGGATCCCGGCGTGACTGTGGCTGAAGTCGCTGAGTGACTGGTGAGGGAGCAGGGGAGATGGAGCGGCGGTCTCACCTGCCGGGTGGGGACATGCGCAGCAAGGAGGCGCCGTGGCGAGGGTCCCTGGCCGGCGTGTGCCGCTCCCCGCTACTGCAGGGCAGGGGGCACAAGCTGCCGTCCCATTTTCTCGCAGGCTGGCCCTTCCCCGGCCTGCGGCGGCAGTTCCGCAGGCCTGGACCCGAAGGTCTCCCTTCGAAGGTGGGAAGGGGCAGCTGGTAAGGACGCACAAGCCTCTCTGCTAGCTGCCCAGCTGGGACGCGGGGGCTTTGGTGAAGCAACAGCACCCAGCGCCACGCTCAGAAGTGAAAACAGGCCAAAGCTATGATCCTCAAAATTAAAACACTTGCGTTTGCATAGTCGGGGCTTTGAGGACGTCGCTTGGAAGCTTGAGGTCTCCCTTGCCTCCTGTTTTTCTTCCTCAGAGGGTCCTCCTTCCATCTCTCCCCTCTAAGGGTCAGGGACTTCTAGAGTCCCCGAGTACTGAGCGACTCTGTCCGCGGGTCTCTCTCAGGCCTTGCGCCCCAGACCTTCAGAGGCGAGAGGGACTGAAACTGCACAGGGTGTCTGTAGTCCGTATGCTCAGAATTCCCCCGCCCCCGTGCTCCCAACCCTGAATGGTAGCATCCTCGGCTCAGGGAGAGCGCTGCTCTGCCTCCCCCATGCGGGGGCAGGGCAAAGAGCAAAAGTGGGCCTGAGAAAGGGTTCGCCCCTCTCACACTGCCCTCTTGGACCGGGCTGGTGCCCCTTCTACCGCGCAGTGCCCCCTCCTCTCCCTGCCCTACTCCGCTTCTCCTCCCTTGCAGCCAAAGAGCCCCCACCCCTGAGAAGTGGGGTCTCTTCTCCTCTTGCACCCCGTGGCTTTTCTCCTCCTGACTTGGAATCCTGGCTGGAAGGGTGAGGGGTAGCTGGCTGAGGGGCCAGTCAGCTTGGACTGCAGATTCCTATCATTTCAAGATGCGTCCCTCTCCGTCCCCATCCCCCACCCCCGTTTTCCTGTTGAAGAAAAATCTCTTTTGGATCTTTTTTATCTCTGCAGTGTTGGGGAAGGCAAGGAGGGGGGTTCTGGATGGGGGAGCAGGCTGGCCTATATCTTACATCTGGCTTGAAACATTCCTTTAGAAAGGGAAAGGGAGAAAGGGAGACAGGGGAAAGAAAAAGCCTTTCCACGTTCATAGTGAGATCAGAACCACCCTTTACTTTCAGGGCCCAGTTTGGCTGGGCACTTAAACTTTCAGGGTTCCTGCTGGCAAGACAATACTTTGGTGCCCCAGATGGCAGCTGCTTTTAGGGACTCTTGACTGACTCTTACCAATCTGGGAGGCAGTCTTTGGGACCAACTGGTGTTTAGATGAGGAAATACGACTGACAGTTTCAGCAACCCAAAGACCCACATGCGGTTCTTCCTATTCCCTCCTTTTTTTTTTTTAACCCTTGAGAACTGACCCCCTCTTCTTTTTCCATCTACTACCTTCTGTCCATGCGGTTCAGATTAAAAATCCTGGAAAAACTCTTAGATGGAAGAGCTCTGAAAGGAGGTGGGCGACACAGAGGGACGTAGCAGTTCCTGTGAGGTGGGGGAAGGCAGCGACGGCGTCAATATGAGGGGTGAGTGCAGAGGTTATCTCAGTCTCCTCGCCCCTCTCCTTTCACAGCGGCAGGCCCAGCTGCCTGCCTTCACGGTCACCACTTCTAGGACAAGGCGGAAAGATGACTTCTGAAGGCAGGTCAGGTGCCCAACGTGATTGTCCCTCTTTCTGTTAAGAAAAAAACAGCAAGACATCCTCTGTAGGACTCCTGGAAGAGGTTGTGTTCCACTATGGAGCAGAGGCTATCACTGCTACCAGCTAAGTCTGATCTCTTCCCTCTTTCTCTCCAGCTACTTTCTCCTCTCTCTACTCTTACCTACAGGAGGAAACTGGTGTTTCTTCTTAGGTCCTGTGACAAACAAAAGGAACTAGGAGAGTTCGGTCAGGTGCTTCCCTGTTCCATTTTGCAGGGGGTTGGATATAGGGAATCACCAGAGCAGGATTGTGCTCATGGGCTCATAAAAGGGGAGAAACACAGAGGTACCATATCGTAGTATGGTATCATATTAGCATTACAATTACCAAGAACAGCTGCCATTTAATGAGCCCTTACTAAGCTCCAGGTACTGTGGCCAACCACCTTATGAGCACTGTTTCCTTTAATATAATCCAGTGAGGTAGGTACTATTATAATAATTATTTCACAAATGAAGTGAGGGATAGGACGGGAGCAGTAAAAAACTTGCCAAAGTCCACACCAATTTTGAGCCAAATCTGTCTACTACAAAAGCAATGTGTGCTTCTCTTGTCCTTGGAATAAAATGATCCTGGATTTTGGAGTCAGAAGGCCTTCATTCATCCTGATTCTCTGATGAGGCCTGATGGATGGAGCAGATACTCTCTTAGTATCCTTGAATTTTTCATTTTCTTCATCTATAAAATGAAGATTTCTCCCTCTGTCCATTTGTATGCAGAAAATGTTTTGTGAATTGTAAAGTACTATACAAGCACTGTGGAATAAAACAGGTAACTGTATTATTCCTATGTTCAAAGTCCTACATGTAATGGGCCGAACCACGTATACTAGGGGATGTACACAAAAGGAGGGGAGATAAAAAGAGGCTCTTTGGATGCAAACATGGAATACCTACACATGGACTGGTGATGTTGCCAAGGAGTACAAACTGTGACTAAAATGAAGTTTATGTGGCTGGGGGAGATGGAAATTTAAATCAGAGCAGTCAAGTGTTTACTGAATAGTTACTGAGTAGCTACTGTGTACCGGATGAGTTCTCAGTATTGGGTATATTTAAGTGAACCAAAGAAACAGGGCTGGGATATGACTCAGTGGCAGAGTGTTTGCCCAGCACGTGTGAGGCTTGGGGTTTGATCCCCGGCACCACATACACCCAGGACAAAAACATCCCTGGTCTCCTTCCAGGTGTAGTGTTGCACACCTGTAGTCCCAGCAGCTTGGGAGAGTGAGGCAAAGGATTGGAAGTTCAAGGCCCGCCTAGGCAACTTAGTGAGATCCTGTCTTAGAATAAAATTTAGAAAAGGCTGTGGGTACAGCAGTGGTAGAGCTGGGGATATAGCTCAGCAGCTCAGCGCCTGCCTGGCAAATGCAAGATCCTGAGTTTGATTTCTAGTATCAAAAAAGAAAGAAAGAAAGAAAAAGAAGTGGTAGAGTACTTGTCCAGCAAGGAGTCGGCCCTGGGTCTGATCGCCAGTATAAGAAAAAAAATCCTGTCTTCATGGAGTAGTGCATCCAAATTAGGTTGGAATCTCGTTGAAATCCAGATTCTGACTCGGTGGCCTATGTGGGGCATAAGGATCTGCATTTTAGCAAATCCCCAGCTGAAGCAGATACTGTTTCTTTGGGACTATAACTTGAGTAGCAAGGGACTTTGAGTCACTCTGTCAAAGGAGGAAATGTGAGTTTGTTAAAAGCAGGTAAAGAGAAAGCTGGAAAGGAAGTGAAGGACTAACATTTGGAAAGGAAAGCAAAGCCGGAGAGTTGGGCATCTAGCATCCTCTCCCGGACCAAAAGCTAGGGGATTCCTTAAACATCTTTGTGCCCCTAACGGCTGAGCTCAGGGCTTGGCATTTGGTAGGCATTCTGTAAGCACGGGTTGAACAGAGGAAGATGGGGTTAGGCTCAGGCCCAGCATTACTGGACACCCCCACACTGACTGTAGGGAGCCAACTACTGCACACAGGCAAGCTCTATGTTCTGCTGTCTTGAAGCAGTTACTTATTGGGGTATGGTAGTGGAGAAACTTAATTATTGTCCCATCTTAGATACTGAACAGATGTTCCCACGCTCATTGAGGATGTAATAAGAAGGACCAATGTGGGCTGCAGCAAAATGGATTTAAGTCAGACCATAGGAAGGCCTTTTTTGCCAGTTTGGCCTGCCCAATTCCAGACTGTCTCATGAGGGCTGGGTTATTGGTCTCCCATTCCCGTCTAGCCCCCCTCCTCCCAAGCCCCAGTTAAAAAAAAACAAACACCCATTGCCTAGAGCAGAACTCTGGGGCTGAACTGGAGAAGCAGAACGGTGGTGAGCCGAGGACGAGGTCCAACTCCGATGGTCTTGATTCTCCAAACAAAGCACCACGGCAGTGGGTGTAACTCCTGACTGTGCGTCAGGCAGCCCTTTCCGGCCTGGCCTAGCCTTGGTGTTTATTTTGTTTGTTCCTGGAAGCTGCTGCCCTGATGGACAGTGCTGGGGACACTGATTCTATGGGATTTGTTAGTGGAGGCCAGCCCTCTCACCCCTCCCTCGGGACAGATGGGGCCCATCAGCTCTGCTGAGTTCCCGAAGAGGCAAGCATCAGCCCGCCTTGTGTTTGTTTGAGTTGGTGTCACCAGTGGTGATCCAGTCTGTGGGTGAGGGCTGGCTGTGGGAATGCACAGGGGGAGGGGACACAGGCCCCAGGGCAGTTGAGCTTTTCCCTTCCCCCACTAGCTGCCCTCCTTTCTCCTCACCCACTTCTAGGCCCATTTTGAGGCTCTTCCCAAACCACTCGCGCACTCATAGCTCAGACCACAGCTTTTCTGTCCGAAGTGGCAACTGCTCTCCAAGCCCCCACCTGTTCTGCAAAGGAGTGGGGCATCCTTTTGATGTATGGATAGGAAAATAATGCATCCCCAGCAAGTCAGGGAAGGGGTTACGTAGGGGGCTGGAGAGCTAGAAAGGAGCAGCAGAGCGGCACTGCTGAGAGTGTAGTAAATGGTCAGATCTCTTTTTGCTGCCTCTTGGGGAGAAAGGTGATACAATCCTGTTTTCTCTCCAGAACACTCTTTTGAGGCTTGTGGGGCACCTAGGCCTAAGACTATTTCAAAAGATGAGAAAATATTGCTTTGAGAAAATTGAGAATGACTCTAGCAACCTTTAATAGCCCCATATCAATTGATCTCATAACTGGGCAGACCACGGACTGCAGTGCTTTATCTTGGCCTTTGGTTTCCCACTGCAGACATTTCTCTGCTCGTGTAGTTCCATCCAGGACACTGTGCTTTGTAGGTTCGATAAATGGATTTTAAAAGCTTCATTAGTTAAGAAAGGCTCTAGGACCTGGAAGTAAAGAGAATGGGGAGGAGACCTGGGGTGGGGTCTGCCTCACCAGACCTCAGGACTGGGAATGAAAGTTGTTTAGCTGTGAGTCTCACTGCAGTTGTAAATATTATTCACAACTGTCCACTATGCCCCTTCCTGGCAGGCCCCCTGGCAGCCCCTGCCTGTCTCCATCTCCCAGCTGCCAAATCATGTCTTTTAGGACCAGCCACTCTGGACATGCTCTTACATGTGGGTGTAAGAGTGTTGGCTCAGACCGTTGTTTTGTTAGTTTTTCTGTGAGGATCTTAATGTTTCTTAAATAAACAGGCAATGGGTTTGTGTGATATGCCCACAGCTGCTGTGTGTATGACACATGCCTGGCCTGTGCTCTGGGAGTGTGTGTCACTTTGGCCTTTGGCTGAGGAACTAGTAATATTGGAAGACCACTCAATTACTCTTTCTGCACTGTGTAACTATTTCTCCAGAGCTTGTGGGGAATGGTTCTACAGATCAGCCTCAGGGAATGTGGGATGGGGAAGAAATTTCTCTAGGCTCTAGATACCATCTCCCCGTCCCCCACCCCACCCTGCGCAGAGAAAGGGGCTGAGGTGCTCTGACAGGATCATCTCCACCTTGCAGGTACATCGGGGCACTAGGGGCCCGAGTGATCTGTGACAATATTCCTGGTTTGGTGAGCCGGCAGCGGCAGCTGTGCCAGCGTTACCCAGATATCATGCGCTCAGTGGGGGAAGGCGCCCGAGAATGGATCCGAGAGTGTCAGCACCAGTTCCGCCATCACCGCTGGAACTGCACCACGCTGGACCGGGACCACACTGTCTTTGGCCGTGTTATGCTCAGAAGTAGGGGTTCTGTCTATCCTTCCCCAGCTCTTTCCGTGTCTATGTTTGGGTGCGAAGTGGGAAGGACTGGCACGATCCTCTGTCTCCTCTACTTCATAATCAGAGAAATAATTGTGGGCATGGCACAGGATAAAGTTGAGAACAGACCCTCAGTACCTCAGATCTGTAGGCAGGGGTCCCTCTAAATCCAGTGCTGTGGGGTGAGGAGACAAACGTAACGCATTCCCTGGCACCTCCAAAATCCTCCCTCATTTTTTCTGCCTTTCGCATTCCCTAACAAAGGGGCTTCCATGCACTGTAAGCTGAGGACTAGGAGTAGCTCCTCTAGTTCTACCACCACCATCATTACCGTCACCCTAACACTCCCAACACTACAGTAATGGGAACAGAGATAAACAGAAAGGTGATATGTAAATACTTGAAGAGTCAATGGCTTGGTCCCAGTTCAGCAAAAAAGCTAAGCAGAGCTAGACGGTAACCTAGGAGAAGGGGAATGGGATAGGAATCTGGAGGTGTCAGGTGATGATTAACAGGGAAGAGAGGAATATGAAGGGGAAGGTAGCCTGTCTCTTCCTGGCTGAGGTCTGCAGTGTAGGGGAATTGTCCGGCAGAATGGGCCAAAAAGTCTGGAATGTGGGCTAAGGCAGGATTAGCTGCACCAGTGCAGGCATGGAGTGGGAGAGGATGATTCAACTTGAGACTTTCCAATGGAAGGACCCAAGGAAATTGGAAGGAAACAAGAGGTCTGATGTACAAACAGGTGGACAGAGAATAGTTGAGGGCTGACAGGAGACGTCAGATGCTTTAGGGCAGTGATGGCAAACCTTTTAGGGCTTTCAATGATACAAACAGCCTGCTGTGGCATGCATGCCATAGGTTCCCCACCAGTGCATTAGGGAGTGTTCTTGGAAGGGAAGGGCACCTTGAATGAAGGGTAAGTAGGAGCGGGTGGCTCTGGGATGGTGAGGAGAGGTTTCTGAGGCCGTGTGGGTTGAAGAAGAAGACAGATACGGGCGTCTTTCCTGAAATGCCCCTCTACCTTTCTCTTTCTAGGTAGCCGGGAGGCAGCATTTGTATATGCCATTTCATCAGCAGGGGTGGTCCATGCTATCACTCGTGCCTGTAGTCAGGGTGAACTGAGTGTATGTAGCTGTGACCCCTATACTCGTGGTCGCCACCATGACCAACGTGGGGACTTTGACTGGGGTGGCTGCAGTGACAACATCCACTATGGTATCCGCTTTGCCAAGGCTTTTGTGGATGCCAAGGAGAAGAGGCTTAAGGATGCCCGGGCCCTCATGAACTTACATAACAACCGCTGTGGCCGTACGGTCAGTACTCGTGTCTGTGTATGTACACTCATATGTGCTGGGGGTGACAGTTTGTGTGACTAAAGACTAAATGTGAAGATGGAAGAACTGAAGACTTCAGGATCACTTCCAAAAGCCCAACATTCCTGCAACAGGAGCACTAAAAAGTAGGAAAAGAAAATAAGTAACTTTTTTGTGGTGCTGGGATCAAACACAGAGCTTCATGCATACTAGGCCAAGTGCTCTACCACTACACATATCTCTAAGCAGAAGTGACTTTTTAAAGATAAAAAGAACTACCTATTCACTGGTATTTGAATATTCCTAGATACTGTGCTAGAAAATGACATACTACAAAAGCAGAATGCACGGTACTTGGTACCCTACAACATGTGAGAACTAAAGGATATGCAAGTACACTAATCATGAACAGAATTCTGTGACTCTATAACCCAACAGGCTGTCATGATAAGGAAAGCACTGTTGGTCCAGGGAGGTTTCCTAGAGCAGGACTTACTCCCCTTCCCCCATGTCTCTCTCAGTTGTATTGGGGATTAAACCCAGGTCCTCACCAATAGTAGCCAAATACTATATACCCCGCTCCCCCCTTGAGACAATGTCTCACTGACTTACCAGGCTGGCTTTGAACTTGTGATCCTTCTGCCTGAAATTCCAGAATAGCTGACATTTATAAGCTTGTGCCACAATGCCAGTCTTTTTTTGTGTTTCTGTGTTTTCTGAGACAAGGTCTTGTATAGCTCCTGCCTCAGCCTCCTGAGTGCTGCAATTATAAGCATATGGCACCACATCTGGCTAGGACAAATTTCTTTATTTGATCAGGAAGAATGGGTGGGATCTGGTAGAACCCCCAAGGGCCCAACCAGCTAGCCCTGGCCAGTAGATCTCAGAGCACTCATGCTTTTGGCCCTCAGGATGACTAAAAAGGTCCCTGATCAGTGCCTGTTCCTTACCTGACACCTCCTCCCCTCAGGCTGTACGGCGATTTCTGAAGCTGGAGTGTAAGTGCCATGGCGTGAGCGGCTCCTGTACTCTACGTACCTGCTGGCGTGCGCTTTCAGACTTCCGCCGCACAGGAGATTATCTGAGGCGGCGCTACGATGGGGCTGTGCAGGTAACGGCCACCCAAGATGGTGCCAACTTCACAGCAGCCCGCCAAGGCTATCGCCGTGCCACCCGTACTGATCTTGTCTACTTTGATAACTCCCCAGACTACTGTGTCTTGGACAAGGCTGCAGGTAAGTAAGAGAAGCAGGTGGAGCTACGGAGCCCAGGTTCTTAGCACAGGCACTACTGTCTATTCAGCTGTAGGAGTTAGGGAAGCGGGTGCCGTGGGAGGAGTCATTTCTTCCCCACACGAAAACGTGGGCATGAGATCGGTGACTTATGCCTCTGCCTGCCAGGCCTAGTGCTCTCCACATGGAGAGGAGGTTACTCAGCTCCTTGAGACCTGAAGTCACTGCTTTGTATTCCCAGCACCTGAGGCACAGCAGGCAATACTTACAGGTTGTTTAAATGAACTACCCGCTTTTGGGCTTAAACCAGTGTTGAGGGCTATACAGAAACGTAAAATGCAGCACTAAGCCTTTGGTTCTTTACAGTCTAGCTAAAGAAATACGACTGGGGCGAAAGATGTAGCTCACTGATTAGAGCACTTGTCTACCATTTGCAAGGTAATGGATAAGCAAATGCAACAACAAAGAAATAAAAACAAGTTTATTCGGAAATGTGGAATTTAAACTGTTTCTTGAAGTGTGTGATTATCTGGACAGCAACAGAGTGGAACAGGCAGACGTTCTCTGTACATGAGCAAAGGGTATGTGGAAAGGAACATGCCCTGTTTCAGGGACAGAGCAGATCAATACGACCAAGTCAAGGTTTCTGGTAAGGAAGATCTTGAAAAGCTATGTTCAGCACTGCAGATTCTGAAATGCAGCGAGGGAAGCAAGGAAAGGGGAGGTCCCTACCAAAGGCAGGTAAAGCTGCAAACAGTCAGTTATAAGCAGAAAATACTTGTTTTTCAATCTGTTCTAGGTATTTTTGGTGGACTTCTTGCGAACACTGGAAAGTGATCAGGTATTTTCCTAGGAAAGTGAAAGTTACCTTCTGGCTCGTGATTTCTGGTTTAGATAGGTTAAACTAGGAACAACATGCAGTGCAACAGAACATCTTCTCTTTCTAGTTACTGTCCAGGGTTTCCAGGCTCCCTTCTGCAGACTTGGGCAGGATGGAGTCAAACACCTGCTTTCAGCTGTCTTCTCTACGGTTTGTTTTCACTCAACACTGTCATTCCTGGAGAGTCCAGTGGCTGAGAGCAAAACTGTACACAGAAACAGGGTGGTGCTCCACCCGAATAATAAAGTATGTGTACTCTGTTGGGTGCTAGAACAAAAAAAGGTTAGGAGAGCCATTCTGATTCCACTAGTGATTTCCTACTACTAAGTATGGTTTTCGCATTGTCTATTTCAGAAAGGTTAGTCCCTGGATGCCAGAGAATAATTCCATAACATCTGAGGTGTAAGCCTATTTTACTGTGTCTAAAATGTACCTTTGGGGGAGGCTCTTTGGAGTTACAAGGGAGAATGAGTTGTATGTGTATTACTTTTTCTCAGAAAGATAAAATTAGGCTTCGTAGAACCCAAAGTAGGGCCTGGAATTCAGAATATAAGTCAATCCAAGGAATATGGAGCCAGGTATTCCCTCTGTCTAGTCAGACTTTCTGGGATGATAAAAATATTATCATAGCTGCGCAACACTACACAGCAGCAACCAGCCATGTGATTACTGAGTACCTGAAGTAGAGTAGTTCCCCCTATCTGTGGGGGATATATTCCAAGATCTAGAATGGATACCTGAAACGAAAGATAGTACCACACCTTATACATACTATGTTTTTTCTTATATGTATATACCTATGTCAAGTTTATAAGTTAGGCAGGAAGAGATTACAGTAATAACTAATAATAAAACTTTTTTATTAAGGTAATAACTAATAATAAAATGTGGGGATCAAATATGGAGCCTTGAACATCTGGGCACGTGATCTATCACTAAACTATATTCCCAGCCCCAAAATAAACAATTTTAATAATATAATAAAACATTTAAAATTTATGAATTATTTCTGGAATTTTCCATTTAATTTTTTCAGACCACAGTTGACCATGGGTAACTAAAACCACAGAAAGTGGGGGGCACTACTGCATACTAGTGTGATTAAGAAACTGAATTTTTTAGTTAATTTTAATCAAGCAAAACTTAAGATTCCATATGGTTCATGTCTACTATACACTGTAAAGCATGATTCCAGAGTTCGAAAATGTTTTTTGATGCCAAAGAGAAGAACTTAAGACCTAGCTCTTAGAGTTAGGAGAATAACATGTGCAGTAGACCTAGTCAACCCACATGCTAGAGCAGTGATCTGATCTCATAATGCTGTGGACTGTATACTCCAATTGTTAAAAAAATTAAGGACATACCACTATTACATGCATACTTACTTATAAGTTATATCTATGTGCCATAGTCCTGATAGGTATATTATAATACATGCATACAAAAATATATTTTTTGGCTGGGTATCATGGCATACACCTGTAAACCCAGCACTTGGGAGACTGAGGCAGGAGAATCACTGTGAGTTCAAGGCCAGCCTGGGCTACATAATGAGACCCTGTCTCAAAAAAAAAAAAAAAAAAAAAAAAAATACTGGTGGCCCTGCTGTATATGTGTGAGTGTGTGTGTGTATGTGTATCTATATATACAGTGTGTGTGTGTGTGTGCGCGCGCACGCGCACGCAATACTGTGGAACCAGGGCTTTGTGCCTGCTAGGCAAACAGTACCACTGAGCTGTACCCCCAGCCCTAAAATAGATTATTTTAAACCAATACAGAAGTTCTAGATTTTCCCTCCATGTCCCAGTGGAATATGGAGACTACTGTGGTTGAAATCAGTTAATGTGTTTTCTTTCTTGAACTCTCAGGCTAGTCTTTTTCCCAACTCTGGGTCCTTATTAATAAGGGGAAGGGTTGGAATGTGACCTATTAAAAATTCTATGATTTGTTATCGATTGACAGGATCTTTTTTTGCTGAAATCTATCAGAAAAAGGTCCTAAAATTTCTCTATGCTGGAGAAAACACCATCCAAGAGTTTCTACTGTAAGGGAATCATGCAAGGGATATTCCTTAGGAACTGCTTAGACCTATGCATCTAGCCAGTCATGCCAGCAGAGATTGTAGTCGGACAGAGATTGCAGCTATAACAACTGCTAAATTAGACATGCCGTTCATTTTCGTATGAGAAAGCTCAGGCTTAGAGACATTAATGCGTGCTGAACCACACAGCTGAGAAGTGGCAGATCTGGATTTAAACCCATACACCTTTATGTCTGGGCCTGTGCTTTCAATGGTCATGCTGCTCTTTCCTACAGAGTACAACTGAATGAAATATAAACACAGGGCCAAAATACACAAATAGAAGCAGGATCAGACTTATAGTGAAACTTCTTAGAAGTTATAAGCTACATTTTGTTGTTGCTGTTGTCTTTTGTTGTTGTTGTTGTTGTTGTTATGGAAAATTTCAAACGCAAAGAACTCTACTGCCCAGCTGTAACAGTTATGAATATTTTTAGTCTTTAAAAAAATTTTTTTTGGCAGTACTGGTGATTTGAACACTAAGCTACATTCCCAGCCCTTTTTAAAACTTTAATTTTCAGATAGGGTCTTCCTAAGTCATTAATTTGCCCAGACTGGGCTGGAACTGCTGAGCCCCCTGCCCCAGCCTCTCAGAGTGCTAGGATTTCAGGTGTGCCCCACCACTCCTAGTTTAAGGTTAGACTGTGAAAAGGATAATGGAAATGTGTACTGGCTGGGAGAGAACTGCAGGTGAAGTCAGTGGCCTTTAGGAAGCCTTAACGGTGGGAAGAAATAAGCCTAGTGCAGAGACATGATCACTTGGCTAGTGGGTATATTTTCAGAAAAAGAGATATTTTGTGACTTTCTTCTGAGAATGTGAGTAGGAGTGCTCAGAGGAGCTAAAGTAAGAAGTAATTTGGTTCTCACTCCCTTCTCCCCTAATCCAGGTTCCCTGGGCACTGCAGGCCGCGTCTGTAGCAAGACATCTAAAGGAACAGACGGCTGTGAAATCATGTGCTGCGGCCGAGGGTACGACACAACTCGAGTCACTCGTGTCACCCAGTGTGAGTGCAAATTCCACTGGTGCTGTGCCGTGCGCTGCAAGGAGTGCAGAAACACTGTGGATGTTCACACTTGCAAGGCCCCCAAGAAGGCGGAGTGGCTGGACCAGACCTGAAGATACAGATACCTCACTCATCCCTCCACTTCAAACCTTGCAACTCCAAAGCACAAGAACCTTGCATGCACACCTTCCTCCACCCTCCACCCTGGGCTGCTACAGCTTCTATTTAAAGACTTGGAGAGTAATCCAAAGGGACCATGGGGTCCCAGCGGGTTCCTTAGCCCTGGGAAGGAGTTGATAGGGAATATAAGAAACGGAGTGGCTCCCTGGTTTCCCCTCGGTAGGTTTGAAGGGAGAGCAGAAGTGGTGTAGGGGGTCTTCAGAGTACTCTGAGTTGCACTAAAGTACCATTTTTCAAGGTCAGGACTCATTTTTCCTCTTTGCACTGGTTTCCTAATACTTCTTGGGTGTGCAAGAGAAAGGATCCCTGGAGACAGCTTCATTTTAACCCTGCCCTGGCTGAGGATAGATAGGTCAGAGAGGAAACTGCACGTCTCTTCCCTGGAGAGAGCCTGAGGTTTCCTGGTACTCAAAAGACGAACGATAATGCTGTACTGTGGAGAGACTGAGACTGCTAGACCAGAGTTCAGCCGTTTATGAACTGCTGTTTTAGAGGAGGGAATCATGTAACTTACAACACACACCCTCTCCTTTCTCCGTGTAGCAGGTCGCACTGTCTCTGTGGCTCACCTGCTGCCTGCTCAGACTGTGGCTGCTGTGCCTCACAGATCATGAGGACGGCTTGGAACAGTATTAGGAGAGAATCACATAGTGAGTCTGAGTAGGCCTAGGGATTGTTCCCCATTCGTTATTCTGAAGGTTCACTACGTTTGGGAATCACAGTAAAAGATAGGTGACTCAAAGAATGGGAGAGGGGAGCGGGCTGATCTTAAGGGCCACACGAGGCCACTGTATACTAGGATTGTAGGACCACTGGTTTGGTAATTTTTTTTTTGAAATGCGTCTTGCTGTGTTGCCCAGACTGGTCTCAAACTTGTGACTGTCCTGCCCTAGCTTTCTGGGGAGCTGGCAGTACAGGAGTGTGCCGCTGCATCCAGCTTGGCTTTGGTAAGTCTTTAGGAGAGGACCCTAACCTTTGAAACGAGGAGTGGGAGCCAGTGTCCACATAAAGAAAGACAGCTGGGGCTTGGAGCCACAGTGGTAAGAACTTAGAAGGGCCTCCCATTTACTCAACAAATTTTCAGTGACTCTCCAAGTCCTGGGGATTATTACTACTCAAATTTGGAAAAGGGGAAGATTCCTTCTGTGCTACTACATTACCTAACCAGATGTGAAGTAGTGGAGTCTCTAGAGATAGCAGACTCGTTGGTAAACTGGAGGATAGGACATGGGAATCCAAAAACCTTGCTGTCCTAATTTACGTATGTGTTCTGACAGTGGTTATCTCTTGCCCACTGGTATTTTAAAACAGCAGAGTGATGTAGAAATTTGCAGTTATAACAGACCTGTGTTGAAATCACAGCTGTGTCTCTTGTTTTTATTTTCAGCAAGACAATTAAGCTTTCTAAGCCTCTATTTTCTCATCTGTAAAATATACTCATCTCAGATACTGAGACTTAACTATGCTCCAAACTCCAGCCAGATACCTTTTCCAGAGCTCCTAACTAGTCTGGTCCAACATAACCTCTCTAGCAACTTCCAATTTAGAACTGTATAGTTGTGACAACAGGCTTTAGGTTCAGGGATACACACAAGTTCTAGATATAGGCCCCCCTTTCCTTTCCCAGGGTCAGATACCTTTTACCAGAGCTCCTAACTAGTCTGGTCCAACATAACCTCTCTAGCAACTTCCAATTTAGAACTGTATAGTTGTGACAACAGGCTTTAGGTTCAGGGATACACACAAGTTCTAGATATAGGCCCCCCTTTCCTTTCCCAGGGTCCTCTCCAACATCCCTTAGGGTCCTCGAATATTTGTGGAGCAACTTCACTCTGCAGAGGCAGCAGAAGGTCAGAAGAACCACAGCTTTGGGCCACGGAGGCAGATTTATTTGGATGATAGGACTAATATTTGTGTAACCTGCTGAGACCTGAGTGGGAGAGTTTAGGGTGGTTTTTCTTTTGGTGAGGGGATCTGCTCCAATTTGAAATCCATTAACACAAAACATGAGCTAATCAGGGCCCTTGTGGTCTGTGGTAAGGGGATGCCTGTGGAGAAATGAGACTGAGTGAGTCAGGCCAAGGGAATGTCTTCCTTGCAGAGTGGAGTCAACTGGATAACTGATGAGCCATTGGTGGGACTGGGGTAGGAGGAAATAGAGTGGGGAAAGAAGAGCTTCTGATATCTTGGGCTGGGATTAAGAGAAGGAAAGCTTTGGGGGTAGTGGGGCCATACGGGGGTCATGGTCAGTCAATTCAAGAATAATACTGAATGAGTTCACAAATACTGCCTTGTATACCAGGCTACTGGGAAGAACCTCAGGTCCCAGCCAGCTCCTGCTCTCCTAAGAACCACCAGGTTACTGTATCAGTGGTGGTACAGGCCTTCCCTGGGAGGTCAACCCGAGTTAAATCTACCTGTGTGCCCTAATGTCTTTTCATTTGTGGTTCTCACCCTGTGGAAGGAAGTGCATGGCCCTCTTCCAGCATTTGATACAGACTGTGCTTTTTCCCTGTACTGCAAATTTTTGCTTACAAAGACACAAGTTTTGCAATTTCCTCTAAATGATTAAGAAGAGCAAGCTGTCCACACAGAAGTTTGAAAAGTGAGGTAGATAAGCAAGAGAAACGATGTCTTTTTGAGCCTCACTACTGAACCTGGGTGGCCCCAAGAAGGGAAGATGGCTAAGCAATTAATTTTTCCTCTTAGTCCTTAGCTCGCCTCTACATTCCGATTGGCTTTAGACAACTGGCGTTCATTCTGCATTATACAAACAAAAACTAATTTACTTGGAACAAGCCACAAAACTAAGAAATTTATTTGGTGCAGTCAGGGCTCCATTTAACTCTGCTGCTACCCCATTCGGCCTCTAAGTGCCCTCTCTCCTGTCCTCTTCCACTTGATGTCTGTCCTTCCCATCGGCTGTGTCTCGGCCTCTCTCCTCATTGGTCCTCATTTCTTTTAACTCTTGATATTGAGGTGTCATAGACTGCAGCAAGTACTGCCTGGATGCAGTTAACTTAAAAGATACTATCTCTATGCTTTTTAGTGAAGCCACATGACTAAAGTACCTCAGCAGTGTGGCACAGCCTGTACTTTTTCTTAAGAATGCCAGCCTTAACTTAGCCCTGCAGATAAGAACAATTTTTATTATTATTATCTCTGAAAAATGGCATTAATCCATACTCTTGTAAAGAGAAATGCTAGAAAAGTGAACGAAGGGTTTCAGGTTGATTAAAAGAATCCAATATTACCTTATGGGTCTGTTTGCAAAACGTGTTATGGATCTAACTTATGAATACTCAGTGTTTCATTTCTGTTCGTTCCTGCTGCAGTATTTCTTCTCCTTTCTCTCACACTCTTTTATCAAGATCACCAACCACTAAGTCCTCTGCCAAGTTCTCAGACACACTCAGGACATGAGTTTTTACATGGCTTAATAGAAGACAGATAATAAGGATTTTTTTCTCCCTTAGCCTTTCTGAGGTTTTTATTTAAATGCTCTCAGTGGTCATAGTGCAGAAGCGCAAGCGAGCTGGGAAGAAGGGAGGATGCCAGGGAGAGCATGTTTCTCATCCCTGGGAGGCATTCAGCCTAGCTCCTGCAGCCAAATTACAGCACCAGAGAACAATGCGATGCATTCCTGGGCAGGTCGGTGGGACCCTGGGCGCCTGGGCCTTGTGGAGAGAGGTGCCAGACACAGAGCTCTCCGTAAGCAATCCTGCAGAGCCGCCCCCTGGGTGCAGAAATGAAATACGGGAGAGCTTCACATTACACAGAGACCTGTAGCTCACACCTGGTTATTGATGGCCTTGGTGGAGGCCTCTGCCCCCACCCTCCTTGGGAACTGCTTGCTACTACGGGGGTTGGGCATCTTTGAAGAATGCTGGTAAAAAAAGAAATGCTTCCTTTTTGCTCTTCCCTCGCTTCTGGCAGCCCGAGTACAATCATGAGCACACACAGACACACACACACACACATAAGGTGCACCGATACGGGCACACACACTGCTTTCCTCAGGATGCGTAACAATTGTAGTGGACTCTCCAGCAATAAAAAAGCAAATAGATTTCCAACGAATTCTTCAAAGATCATACCCACAATAGGGTCCACCTCTCACCAAGGAATACTACAAAGTTACATTACCAACATGCAGGCAAGTATATGTTTTCACACTGGTACTCCCCCGGGAAAGGGAAGGACACAGATGAGATCAAGGGTGGGAAGTTACCACCCAGCCACTTCAGAGTGGCTGAAGATATACAATTTCTCAAGGCTGCTTCATGCTCAAGACAGTGACATGCATCCTGTGTCTTCTGAATGAAGGGGCAATTTCCTGTGACTGCATGAAGTATATATTGCTAAGCCTCCTGCTTATGACCCGTTACTCTTTTTAACTTTTATTGGGTTAGAAAACAGGATAGTTTTGGATTCTAGGGAAGATTTCCGTAAGAGCGAGGCATTAGAAGAAACTAAACAGTACCTTTGCTGTGGTAAATATATCACAGTTGCTGCACTGAACTAAGATTTCCCAGAATGCTTGTTGAAAACCTGTCCTGATTGACAGGTCTCAAGCAATAGTCCATAGGGTGTCATATATGTAATTCTCTCAACTCTGTGAGGTAGAGGTTACTCTCTTTTATGGGAGTGATTATGAGAGTGATTCAGAGATTTGTCCAAGATGACATGGACAGTGAGTAGTGTAGCCAGAACTCAAACCAAGGTCTTCTGACTTCAAATCCTGTGTACTCCTCAAAGCCTGAGGACACCTAGGATTAGGGGTGCTAGAGTACTGGCATCTTCAGAACAGAAATTGCTACAAAATGTTCAAAGCCAGGAGACACTCGAGGGCTGCCAGGACAGGATAGCGGAGCACAGTACACCAAGGAACAGCATACGCTTGCCTAAACCTCAACCAATGCCCTTCTTACTACTTTAGCCACTGTCACCACCACTATCAAGGGATTACGAAGTATTCCACATTTAAACAACTTTGGCTCCTAGTTTTCTGTAGTTCTTTTTCCTCCCTCCAGATTAACCTTAACATTTGTCTTCATATTATGTAATTCTTCTCAAATGATGTTGTATGTGTAGACAGAGTAGAAGTAGGCATGAAAAGCCATGAGAGGAATTTTAAGACTTTTGGCTCTTAAAGTATGCATTAGAATTTCCTTTGAAACTTCTTTTTTAAAAAAAATGATGTCAACCCTGGCTTAGGAAAGAACAGAGAATGAAAGTGCTAAGAAATCTGCACCCTATCCCACCCAGAAGTCTACTTATGGTCTAGTAAAGATCTTGGGACTTCTAGAGATGAGTGATTCATCCACACCAATACAAGGGGCATCCACCCTGCACAGAAACCCTTGTGAGATAGGACAGACAACAGATTTTTCACTTGATCAAAGCTCGCTGCTCACAACTCCTCCTCCCATCCTCATCTGAAATCTGGACCTCTCTCTAGGTACAAGACAGTGAGAAAAAACAGCTCCAAGAGAGGGTGTGTGCAAGGGGGACCCTTCCCTGTCAGACCCTGGAATGCATTCCATTAAAGACAGCAAAAGCCCTGGAATACCCTACCTATCTCACTGGTGCACCCCAACTGTGAAGGCAGAAGGGAAAGTAGCAGGAACACAATGTTCATCAATCACAGACCCGGGAAGCTACAGCTCCCTGACCAGGGCCCTGCTTGAGCTAGGGGAACAACACCTCAGGAAAACAGTCTACCTATAGTCAGGATTTTCCCCCCAGCAAACCTTACTTTTTGGTTCATCGATCTTGGCTCTCAGCGCTCTCCCTGCTTCCCACCCCCACTGCCTCCGCATGTGGGCTCAGAAGTCATCATCTAAAGAATTCCATTGCTCACCTCCTGCATAGCAGCACAACCCCATGAGGCCGCACACCAGATGGAGGGGATAAAAGTACGAGGTCATGGCTTGTAGCAAAAGGCTTTTTCTTAAACTAACCCTGACTCCTGGAAAAGAGGCAGAGCAGGAGAGTGTAGGGGAGCTGCTGACGACAGCAGCTTCATAGGTCTTGTATAAAAATAAAGAAAACGATAACGGCTCTCCGTGGAAACTTCTCTATTCCTATCTCCTGGTCTCACGTCTACAACTTGAAGGTATCTGAATAGAATACAGAGATTATCAAACCAAAGGGTTAAATCCTTCCCACTGTAGTGACCTATTCAGCAGGCTGCCACACACAGGCTGAGGTGGAGGCCAATCCCTGATCACATGCCTTGTTTCTCTAGTAATCTAACGTAAAAAAAAAAAAAAGGGGGGGTATGAGAGGTGGGCTAGAAGTCTGAGGAAATTGTAAAGGTCATCAGTAGGCCTTTGTTGTACAAAAAAGACAAGGGAATGGAGGAAGATCATCATTTCTGGTATCACTAAGCTTGTAGGCTGACAATGTACAGGAACAATCACACACAAAAAAATCAGTTTTAACAGACTGAGAAACAGAAGTGTTAGAAGAATTAGGTGAATGAGATCAATCAGAGACGGCTTTCTCCAGGAGGTGACTTTAGTATGAAGTGGCTGATGGTTGAGGGTAGTCCAGGGAAGGCATTCTAGATAGAAGGAACTGGTATGTACCAAACCTTAGAAACAAGAACATGCAAGTAATATGCAATGAATTTCAAGAAAAGGCACACTGTATATATTGGAAAATACAGAGAAATTACAGTGCTGAGATCAAAGCTTAACTAATGTGAGGTAACTTATGTACCTAGAGTGTTAAATGGTTCAGAGTCCCCTACAAAGCCACACAAGATCTTGATCTACATTAGTAAACACCAGGGAACCTATGGGAAAGCACAAGATGAGTTTGTTTGATACAGATATAGGGACCAAAGAAGGTATGCATTGTAAAGGCCGACAAAATGCTGTACGTCATTAAGTATATAGATCCCTATCATTTGAAATTATGGGCTAAGTAGAAACATTAAATATCCTATCCAGAACTGTAATAAATTAATGTAGGCTTCTGGATTCAGAATATGGTATCAGTCACCAAATTCTTTTTTTTTTTTTTTCAGTCACCAAACTCTTAAGAAATTAAAAGGCAAAAATACATTTTAAAATGTACATTAAGAAATTAAAACATACATTTCTTTTCCTTCCCAATTTAAAACTTAACTGGTATCCCCAAATTCCATTTGTTATATTGGATTTTTGTGGCTAGCAAGTTTATCATATCTAAGGCGAGACTGAATAGAAGGGAACTGCAAAAGAGCTTTTCAGACTGCAAAACCATTTCGCTAATAAACGCAGAGATAGTTCTAGTCTGCTATAGGGCACTGGAGCAACAGTCAAAGATGGAAGACCATTTTTGATTTCATGATCTCCAATTTGATTTCTGGTTTCTTGAAGTTGCTGGAGGTAGAAACAGCTATTTCCCAGGCTTCCATCATACTTTTTAACAAACTTCTCCAACCCTATCCTTTCATAGCAGTTTCCTGGTACCACTTTCAGAAACAGAATATATACTGGATTGTGAGTCTGACCCAGCATGACGTTTAGTATATATTTTTTGTGTGCACTGAACAAGCTGACAGGTAAGCAGTATCCCAGGTTTATGCTTTACTTAACTGGCACAATTTGGTGCTAGCAAGGAGGCAGCCACTGACAGCGATAGCATTTATTATCATCTTAGTTTCCCCCTTTCCCTTGGTAGTGTATAAAAGGTGATTTCTGAAACCTTTCACAAAAGAAAAGCTCAAGGGTTTACGTTCAACTATGACACTACGATGAATGTTTCAGGTTGCACTATAATCTCCCTATGTAACATAAACCCATGGAATCTGACATAAGCTGATTGCTCATACTGGTTATTTTACTTACATTTCTGAATGAAAGGGATTTTAATATTCATAAAATATCTAACTGACTTACTATTTCTTGCCTGTTCTCCCAGAGCAGCTATTATAAAATAGGCCTAGGGACTGAAGTCTCACCTTATATGACTGGTTAAGCAACCAGGGAAAAGTTATTGCTCAAAAAACAATTTAAAAAAATTCAATATGGAATTTGAGGCAAAACCAGAGATGTGATTACTGCTGATGTCATCTGAAAGTTTAAAAAACAAAAAGAAAAAAGACTAAGTAACTATGTTCTTCATCTTCATGCAAATTCTATAGGAGTAGGTTGTTTCCTCACATGGTCTCAAGGTGCCTGACCTTACTTAAGTCTGTGGATAACTAATGTTAGTGGACACAGTCACCAGTATAAACAGGAATGCAACCGAATGGATGAATGAAAGTGAATTACCACCCAGAAATATGAATGTGCCTCCTTACCAACAGGCTACAACTCAGACTCCTGAGCTCAAAGAGGTCATCATGCATCTTACTCACCACTGGAGGTGTACCTTCTGTTAACCTATTCAAAGAATAATAGTTTCTGCTTATGCCAGTAGGTTTGGCAAGGTCAGATGAATTGCTAGAGAAGTAATGGTCACCAGTAAATTCCAAAGTCTGGTTCTTAGTCTTCTACCTCCAAGTCACTGTTCAAATCATCCCAGTTGTTCTTCAACTACAGCCCTGATTTAAATCAGTAAATTCTCCAACCCTCTAGGACACTGGCGGCGAACCCATGGCACGCAAGACACAGCGGGCTGTTTGTATCACTAAAAGCTCTAAAAGGCCTGCCATCACTGCTTTAGAACATTTGGCCCACTCTTCTACTCCATATTCCTCATTCATCCCTCCGTATTCATAGATTACATGTCTAATTTGTA